TACACTGCAAGGAAGGCTAGGCTAATGGTGGAGATATTAACCATAAGAACAGTAATAACCAAAACATAAAATGGATTGAAAGTGGATTTTCATGTTAGTGGATTGTGAAAAGGAAAGCAAACTTAACTTTTGGGCCATGAGTTTGAGATGATGATAGTCCTGCCCATGACCACAAACCTCGCCAGCCAATGTAGAAAGCAGAGTCACTAACAGCAAATCACTAACTAGACCACCTATATATTCAGAAGTAGAAAGAAAGTTAAAAATCACTTAGGGGCAATTGATTGTAGAACAGCATTCTGTACTTTCTTCACTGATGGAAGTGTTCTGTGTCTGTACTGTATACAATGTAGTAGCCACTATCCACAGGTGCCTATTGAGCACTTCAAATGTGGCTAATGAGACTGACAAACCAAATTTGTAATAAAATAAAATCAATAAATTGCATTTATTTATTTATTCTAATTAGCATATATTACTGTACAAAGGGATTTCATTGTGATATTTCCATATAACAATACAAGGTGCTTTGATCATATTCACTCCTGTTAATACTTTTTTCCTGTCCCACTTCAAAGGTAGATATATAGATATACAAAGATAGGCATGAATCCAAACAGAGCCAGACACAGATAGGGAGTGACGGAGGCAGGCATATATAGAGAAAAAAGCAGACAGAGAGGAAAAGAAAAATCTCTCATTATCCTTAAGGACTGCATTGCATCCCACAGAGGTACATCTCATTGTTTTTGGTGGAACACTTATGTTTGCTCCCATTTAGTTTGATGGGTTTGTGTAGCATCACCAAGACTGTACAGCTTATTTCCTACTTCTCCATTCCTTTACTGAATGGCTGTAAAACACAGTGAGTGTGAATGTGGGAAGCTTTCCCCTTCAGATTTAGCAGCCGAAACAAAAATCTTAAAGTGAAAAAATAAAGGCTGGTGTTGGATAAATGGCCCAAGTTTGCAAATGGCAACAATCAGGGTTTGTGACAGTTTAAATGATGGTTATTTCAGCTGTCACTATTTGTATGTCATCCAACATCTTTCTTTTGTAAACAGCAAAAGGTGATCTAAAGATTTAAAGTTAGTTGGTGACAAAGCAAAAGCAAATCTCACAGTCAATGTACATGTCTAGCTAAGTAGTCTCTGAAGCTCCCCACTAAGTATAACTATTTTTGTTTTGATGAAATGGCATCCTGGTATGAAACGTCTTCAGAAGTTTATATAAAGGATGTGAAACTGTTACAGCAATAATCCTGTTTTTTGTTTGTTTGTTTTTTTACAAATATACTAACCTCTACTTAACTCTTTCCCCAAGCTGATTTAAAAAGTTGGAATGAGGTTTGTTGTTAACAGTTGGTTAGGTATATAGAGCATAAGGGAAAAGAGCAGTGGAGAAATGTAAAATTGAGAACAGATATCAAAAGGTGCTGCATGGACACCCAGATTGAGCCATTTCGTGTTACTGTTATTATAATGCTACTATGTAGATTTCATATGGAAAAGCCTTTCAGATCTCCTTAAGGAGAAAAAAAATAAAAGGTCAAAAGTAATTTCTTCACCAGTGGCAAAGGATTCAATTTAATTGGGAAGAGAAATGTAAACCCATAAGAAAAATTCTGGATTGAACTAAGTAAAACTTTAAATATGTTGATTAATTTTTTTATTTGGTCATCTTATATTACCTTTTTACATTCTTTTCAAGTACATATTTATTACTTGTATGGATTCTTAAACAGAGTTTTCAATTCTTCGACATTCTTTAACTACAAAAATCACTCAATGAAATGAAAACAAGTAGAACATTTGGGAGGGAGGGTGTGCAGAAGTGACAGTTGTCAAACTAGCAGTAATCAGGAACCAACATATCCAAATCCTGACTAGTGTGTCTCTCCATTTTGGACAACAACACCGTCTACTTTACCCTGTGAACTACTAGCTTAGACTGCACACCCCTTGCTCCCATTTCCAAACACCATGCAGTTCTCATTATAATTCAAAGCCATTCCATTCCAGAGTTAGTTTACCACTTTTTCTCTTCAGCGGGAAGCAGTCTTTCCAAATACAATTTTTTTTTGCAGTGCTGGCAATCAAACCCAGGACTGCACACATGCTAGGCAAACTCTCTACCACTGAGCTACATCCCCAAATGCAGCTTGAACATCAAACGTTTTTGAAGCGCAAAGGCTATCAACTTGCTTAAACAGTACTTTCTGATGCATAAATAAACCATGACTATAGGCCACATGAAAAACCACATGTAGCAAAGGAATATACTCATAGGATAAACCCACTTCTAACCACCACACCCCCAATTCAGAGTGTTACTAAACTTCTAAATGTCTTTCTAGGATTAAACTGCAAGAAAAGTCTAATTAACATCAAGATGTTCTTAGATTGAAACTCAACCAACAAAAAGATTATCTGGGTGTGTTTGCATAGTGAGAAACCATGGAAACTAAGTACTGAACTCACTGGCAGGAAATGGAGAAGGGGCAAGTAATGGAATGAAGCCTGCAGTAGTGGGGGTGGGGGTGGTAGTGGTGGTGGTGGTGATAATGAGTAGGGACAGCAAAGCAGCTCTAAAAATACCACATGAAAGAAAAGTCAAAGTATTACCTCAACATTCACTTAATTAAACTATAAGAAATGCATGCTTTAAAAGAAGTTCACGAAGAGTAATAGAGTAGGTAAGGTAGGCTCACAGTTTCTTCTAAAGTCAGTTGGTCTCTGTCTTCTCAGAAATGATGCAGAAGTTGATGGATGGAAAACCAGGACAGGTTGCCACATTCCCAGCACAACTGAGTTCTGGAAGTGTTTGGAAAGTGGGGTCCCCTGTAGACAGTCTCAAGCTTTATATGCTACAATTCAACAAACCCTCTGCAGACTGGATCATCAGAGGCAGGCCAATCCAGTTGGTCCCATAGAGGCAAGGTGGCACCTGGAGCATGCTTGACCATGCCCGAACACAGGGAGGGGCTGCTCAGTTCTCTGGTCTTTTGCATGGGTCTTCACTCTGCGAAGTGCCACTGTCTCCTGGGAGGTACAGGAAGTTGCATGCCACATATATGGGGAATACCATGTCTTGGTTTTCTAGGTTCACTACCTCTAGTTCTTGATCTTTTCTCAGTGAAAGCATTTTATATTCTGTGTCCTTCCTGAAAATGGCTCTTCCAGCCTTGTCCAAGGAGACCAGGCGCAGGCGAAATGCAACTTTTCTCTGCCAGAGTAAGCTGACCCCAAGGCCACAGGACTTGTTCAATGCACTGCGACGGAATATAATGCGCCGGTTGGAGTAGCACACCACCAGGTCCCAGCCAAAGTTGAAGCCAGCCCATCTCCAGCTGCATTGCTCATCTCTGCGCAGCTGGCCTCCACACCGCATGCTGTTCCCTGGATGTCAGATGCATAGACATTCACGGGTCCGAGTTCCCTAGTCTGCTCAGCCCGGAGGAGTGCTAGCCACTGCTCTTTGTACACTGGCATCAACCATGTGGCAGGGATCAGCGCATCCTGGTCAATAATACGTGCAGAAGGCAGGTCACAGATTATGTGGGCCAGCCGCAGCTGCTGGAACACTGGCACAAAGGCTCTGCCTTGCTCCGTCTCCAGAAACGGGGTACCCTCGCACTCCCTCCTGTACTTGGCAAACCACAAGTCCGCGCAATGCAGTAGCGATCTTTGGGGACCTGTCCATGCGGGTTGCAGCTGTAGGAACATCCACTTTTTAAGTGTCGTGTATACATCCATCTCCACCTCCATCACCATGAGCTCTGAAGAGGCAATGAGCTCTTTCATGAGATCCAGACTGATCTCTAGCAACAGTTCCTCACTATGCTGGGTCATCAGGTTATCCAACAGCCACTGACGGCAAATGGTCCTGATGTCCTGTAGGCCATAGTTCTCAGCAGAGTAATAGTAGCTGCACACTGTCTGGGCGCTTACCATCTCCTTCATGACCTCCCCGCACTGCTGAATTAGCTCATCCAACTGCAACATGCTGGCCGTGGCCAGGATGGCAATGACGCGGCAGGCAGGGATGATCATGGCATCCCGGTACAAGGAGCCCAAAACCTCATGCAAGGATTCACGGTCAATGTTCTCGTCAGGTATCTGTATCTCTATGGTATTCATGTTTGTCTCCCGCCAGGCACCACTGAACATGCTAGCAAAGTACCCTGACTGGCGCAGGTAGACCCTGTGTAAGCTCCACTCCTCCCCCAATGCACGAATCTGTACATCACTGTTCTCACCCCTCAGGAAGAGCGCCTCGTAAATGGATCCGGACTTGTCCTTGGCACGCTTCCGGCGAGGAGTTTCTGCCAGCGGCCCTCCAGAGCAGGCCTTTCGCTTGCGGCCGCCCTGACTGCTGGTGGCTCGGGACTCTTCACCTTCTTCCTCCTCTCGCACCACTGCCGCTTCTACCTCCGCTCCCTCCTCATCATCCCTTTGGGCACCTGGTTCATCTGAGGCACGACCCCCCCTGAGCCACGGCATTCGACTGCTTAGTGCTCCCATCCTTTCTATTTCAAGGGCTCGAATGTGTACTCCCTCGCCTGGCTTAGCTTCAGCCCAGAGTGCTGCTGGGAACAGCTTACGTGTGCCCCAACGTCAACACTGACGTCCTACCACGCAGCAATTTTGTGTGTGGGTGTGGCCAGGGGGTACAGCATTCCAAACATGGAGGACCAAACTGTGTGCCTTCCCTCCAGTGGCACTCACGAAACAGAGTGATCTCTAAGTCTTTTATGAAAGGAACTTATATTTTTGAAAATAGGCTCCTATGTTGCTATCTCTGTGATTCCCCGTTCTAAGACACAACGTTGTAGGGGTGGAGTTGTAGACGTGGGGGGGTGTGGCTTGGTAGGACGTCAGTGTTGACGTTGGGGCACACGTAAGCTGTTCCCAGCAGCACTCTGGGCTGAAGCTAAGCCAGGCGAGGGAGTACACATTCGAGCCCTTGAAATAGAAAGGATGGGAGCACTAAGCAGTCGAATGCCGTGGCTCAGGGGGGGTCGTGCCTCAGATGAACCAGGTGCCCAAAGGGATGATGAGGAGGGAGCGGAGGTAGAAGCGGCAGTGGTGCGAGAGGAGGAAGAAGGTGAAGAGTCCCGAGCCACCAGCAGTCAGGGCGGCCGCAAGCGAAAGGCCTGCTCTGGAGGGCCGCTGGCAGAAACTCCTCGCCGGAAGCGTGCCAAGGACAAGTCCGGATCCATTTACGAGGCGCTCTTCCTGAGGGGTGAGAACAGTGATGTACAGATTCGTGCATTGGGGGAGGAGTGGAGCTTACACAGGGTCTACCTGCGCCAGTCAGGGTACTTTGCTAGCATGTTCAGTGGTGCCTGGCGGGAGACAAACATGAATACCATAGAGATACAGATACCTGACGAGAACATTGACCGTGAATCCTTGCATGAGGTTTTGGGCTCCTTGTACCGGGATGCCATGATCATCCCTGCCTGCCGCGTCATTGCCATCCTGGCCACGGCCAGCATGTTGCAGTTGGATGAGCTAATTCAGCAGTGCGGGGAGGTCATGAAGGAGATGGTAAGCGCCCAGACAGTGTGCAGCTACTATTACTCTGCTGAGAACTATGGCCTACAGGACATCAGGACCATTTGCCGTCAGTGGCTGTTGGATAACCTGATGACCCAGCATAGTGAGGAACTGTTGCTAGAGATCAGTCTGGATCTCATGAAAGAGCTCATTGCCTCTTCAGAGCTCATGGTGATGGAGGTGGAGATGGATGTATACACGACACTTAAAAAGTGGATGTTCCTACAGCTGCAACCCGCATGGACAGGTCCCCAAAGATCGCTACTGCATTGCGCGGACTTGTGGTTTGCCAAGTACAGGAGGGAGTGCGAGGGTACCCCGTTTCTGGAGACGGAGCAAGGCAGAGCCTTTGTGCCAGTGTTCCAGCAGCTGCGGCTGGCCCACATAATCTGTGACCTGCCTTCTGCACGTATTATTGACCAGGATGCGCTGATCCCTGCCACATGGTTGATGCCAGTGTACAAAGAGCAGTGGCTAGCACTCCTCCGGGCTGAGCAGACTAGGGAACTCGGACCCGTGAATGTCTATGCATCTGACATCCAGGGGAACAGCATGCGGTGTGGAGGCCAGCTGCGCAGAGATGAGCAATGCAGCTGGAGATGGGCTGGCTTCAACTTTGGCTGGGACCTGGTGGTGTGCTACTCCAACCGGCGCATTATATTCCGTCGCAGTGCATTGAACAAGTCCTGTGGCCTTGGGGTCAGCTTACTCTGGCAGAGAAAAGTTGCATTTCGCCTGCGCCTGGTCTCCTTGGACAAGGCTGGAAGAGCCATTTTCAGGAAGGACACAGAATATAAAATGCTTTCACTGAGAAAAGATCAAGAACTAGAGGTAGTGAACCTAGAAAACCAAGACATGGTATTCCCCATATATGTGGCATGCAACTTCCTGTACCTCCCAGGAGACAGTGGCACTTCGCAGAGTGAAGACCCATGCAAAAGACCAGAGAACTGAGCAGCCCCTCCCTGTGTTCGGGCATGGTCAAGCATGCTCCAGGTGCCACCTTGCCTCTATGGGACCAACTGGATTGGCCTGCCTCTGATGATCCAGTCTGCAGAGGGTTTGTTGAATTGTAGCATATAAAGCTTGAGACTGTCTACAGGGGACCCCACTTTCCAAACACTTCCAGAACTCAGTTGTGCTGGAATGTGGCAACCTGTCCTGGTTTTCCATCCATCAACTTCTGCATCATTTCTGAGAAGACAGAGACCAACTGACTTTAGAAGAAACTGTGAGCCTACCTTACCTACTCTATTACTCTTCGTGAACTTCTTTTAAAGCATGCATTTCTTATAGTTTAATTAAGTGAATGTTGAGGTAATACTTTGACTTTTCTTTCATGTGGTATTTTTAGAGCTGCTTTGCTGTCCCTACTCATTATCACCACCACCACCACTACCACCCCCCCCCACTACTGCAGGCTTCATTCCATTACTTGCCCCTTCTCCATTTCCTGCCAGTGAGTTCAGTACTTAGTTTCCATGGTTTCTCACTATGCAAACACACCCAGATAATCTTTTTGTTGGTTGAGTTTCAATCTAAGAACATCTTGATGTTAATTAGACTTTTCTTGCAGTTTAATCCTAGAAAGACATTTAGAAGTTTAGTAACACTCTGAATTGGGGTGTGGTGGTTAGAAGTGGGTTTATCCTATGAGTATATTCCTTTGCTACATGTGGTTTTTCATGTGGCCTATAGTCATGGTTTATTTATGCATCAGAAAGTACTGTTTAAGCAAGTTGATAGCCTTTGCGCTTCAAAAACGTTTGATGTTCAAGCTGCATTTGGGGATGTAGCTCAGTGGTAGAGAGTTTGCCTAGCATGTGTGCAGTCCTGGGTTTGATTGCCAGCACTGCAAAAAAAATTGTATTTGGAAAGACTGCTTCCCGCTGAAGAGAAAAAGTGGTAAACTAACTCTGGAATGGAATGGCTTTGAATTATAATGAGAACTGCATGGTGTTTGGAAATGGGAGCAAGGGGTGTGCAGTCTAAGCTAGTAGTTCACAGGGTAAAGTAGACGGTGTTGTTGTCCAAAATGGAGAGACACACTAGTCAGGATTTGGATATGTTGGTTCCTGATTACTGCTAGTTTGACAACTGTCACTTCTGCACACCCTCCCTCCCAAATGTTCTACTTGTTTTCATTTCATTGAGTGATTTTTGTAGTTAAAGAATGTCGAAGAATTGAAAACTCTGTTTAAGAATCCATACAAGTAATAAATATGTACTTGAAAAGAATGTAAAAAGGTAATATAAGATGACCAAATAAAAAAATTAATCAACATATTTAAAGTTTTACTTAGTTCAATCCAGAATTTTTCTTATGGGTTTACATTTCTCTTCCCAATTAAATTGAATCCTTTGCCACTGGTGAAGAAATTACTTTTGACCTTTTATTTTTTTTCTCCTTAAGGAGATCTGAAAGGCTTTTCCATATGAAATCTACATAGTAGCATTATAATAACAGTAACACGAAATGGCTCAATCTGGGTGTCCATGCAGCACCTTTTGATATCTGTTCTCAATTTTACATTTCTCCACTGCTCTTTTCCCTTATGCTCTATATACCTAACCAACTGTTAACAACAAACCTCATTCCAACTTTTTAAATCAGCTTGGGGAAAGAGTTAAGTAGAGGTTAGTATATTTGTAAAAAAACAAACAAACAAAAAACAGGATTATTGCTGTAACAGTTTCACATCCTTTATATAAACTTCTGAAGACGTTTCATACCAGGATGCCATTTCATCAAAACAAAAATAGTTATACTTAGTGGGGAGCTTCAGAGACTACTTAGCTAGACATGTACATTGACTGTGAGATTTGCTTTTGCTTTGTCACCAACTAACTTTAAATCTTTAGATCACCTTTTGCTGTTTACAAAAGAAAGATGTTGGATGACATACAAATAGTGACAGCTGAAATAACCATCATTTAAACTGTCACAAACCCTGATTGTTGCCATTTGCAAACTTGGGCCATTTATCCAACACCAGCCTTTATTTTTTCACTTTAAGATTTTTGTTTCGGCTGCTAAATCTGAAGGGGAAAGCTTCCCACATTCACACTCACTGTGTTTTACAGCCATTCAGTAAAGGAATGGAGAAGTAGGAAATAAGCTGTACAGTCTTGGTGATGCTACACAAACCCATCAAACTAAATGGGAGCAAACATAAGTGTTCCACCAAAAACAATGAGATGTACCTCTGTGGGATGCAATGCAGTCCTTAAGGATAATGAGAGATTTTTCTTTTCCTCTCTGTCTGCTTTTTTCTCTATATATGCCTGCCTCCGTCACTCCCTATCTGTGTCTGGCTCTGTTTGGATTCATGCCTATCTTTGTATATCTATATATCTACCTTTGAAGTGGGACAGGAAAAAAGTATTAACAGGAGTGAATATGATCAAAGCACCTTGTATTGTTATATGGAAATATCACAATGAAATCCCTTTGTACAGTAATATATGCTAATTAGAATAAATAAATAAATGCAATTTATTGATTTTATTTTATTACAAATTTGGTTTGTCAGTCTCATTAGCCACATTTGAAGTGCTCAATAGGCACCTGTGGATAGTGGCTACTACATTGTATACAGTACAGACACAGAACACTTCCATCAGTGAAGAAAGTACAGAATGCTGTTCTACAATCAATTGCCCCTAAGTGATTTTTAACTTTCTTTCTACTTCTGAATATATAGGTGGTCTAGTTAGTGATTTGCTGTTAGTGACTCTGCTTTCTACATTGGCTGGCGAGGTTTGTGGTCATGGGCAGGACTATCATCATCTCAAACTCATGGCCCAAAAGTTAAGTTTGCTTTCCTTTTCACAATCCACTAACATGAAAATCCACTTTCAATCCATTTTATGTTTTGGTTATTACTGTTCTTATGGTTAATATCTCCACCATTAGCCTAGCCTTCCTTGCAGTGTAAAGGCCTTTGAACTGCCCGTTGAGAGGATGCAAAGGAAATATCTTTGTAAACTGGATTACTTCATAAATATTAGTGCACGAGCTTATTGTAATAATCATACTTGATTTTTCATTTAGCTTTATCATCAAGGGTAACCTGATACAGCCAACAGTATGATGGTTGAGAAAGTTGGATTTATTATTAGTAGCAGTGAGGGAGAATGTACACAATGGGGAAATGTGGTACATTACAGGGCAGAGGGCAACAGAAAAGGTGTATTAAGTACTGGGACTTGTGTTGAGCAATTTGGATGAGGGTTTAAGGAAGGAAGGTTTTGATCTTTATTATATTCTGCCAGGAATATAATAATGGTAATCCTCCTATGATCCAGTATCTCAATAAACACAGAGAACAGATTAGAGTGAGGTTAAATCTGTCATTGGTACAAACCAGCCAGCCAGCCAACCAACCAACCAACTAACCATCTACCACCAACAATGAAAACTAGGTAGGTTATACAGTGATCTTGCTTTTGTCTGTGTGTAGAAAACACGTATAAAGTGGCTGTTGCCTTGTTGCATTTTATTGTGGCATCAGAGTGACTTTGCCTGAAGTTGATAGTCTGTGAGAAATATTTTTATGTCTAATGGGAGCAAAACATGTTCTAACTGTGAGTTTCAGCGTAGCTTTTTAACAAAACTGAGGCCTAGCTCTGAGCACCAGGCCGGATTCTAGATATCACGAGAACTTTCTTTTCTTCTTCTTCTTCTTCTTCTTCTTCTTCTTCTTCTTCTTCTTCTTCTTCTTCTTCTTCTTCTTCTTCTTCTTTAATGCTCAGCCTGCAAAATATTAACCCATGTTATATACAATTTCACCACTGTTCAGATTTTTCTGATCAGGCATTTATTTAGAGAATGTAGTCTGCAGTTGAGCATGGGTTAGTTTCTCCTGATCCATCGCTGAATGCTCCGATGCAGCATTGACTGTGCAATAGCATTTAAGACTGATCGGGATACGTTGGCTAACTGAAAAATAAGGTAAATATTTATAAGGAACAGAATAATTGTTAGTTATTGAAACAAATTTTGAAGTTAAGAGCCCAGAGTATAGAACTCAGGCAGTGAAGCCAACTGTGTCTCTGTTAGTGAGCCATGTGACTTCTGTTTCAATCAAAGACAAATTTGGACCATCTTTGCCAGTTGTTATTATCCTTAATGTGGGAATTGCATGTCACATAGAGTATGTGAATTGCAGGTCACATAGAGTATATGAAGAGTGAATCAGTTACTCTTCCTTGGAATTTTCAAAATAAATTGGTTTGAAAGTTTATGGACATTTCTCCCCCTACCCTCCACTCCAGAGAAACGAGACACTGGAATGTTTAGTTTTAAATGTCTGAATGTCTTGAACAATTATCTTCAATACACAGGATAAGTTGTCACCTGCTGTCTGGTGAGATGTTTATGAAAGACATTATATAAGAAGTAGTAGCTCAGTGTGACACAGACTCTATTTGGAGTATATGTATCAAGACAAAGCAAATTTTGTGTTTCTCAAGATGGACAATGTGTTTATTTGTGTTAATCAGTTTCACAAAGCAGGCTGACTATCATGAGCAACTAAATACCGTGCACAAAGTGACCCACAGGGCCAAGATAGTCCCATGCTGCCAGCTACTCCTGATTGAGGATTGTAATGGACCACAGCTAATGTATTTTCTTGACATATGGGCAACATCCACTTTTTCTAACACTGAATGGAGGTTGGGATTAATGCTGTAAGGGAAACAGAAAGAAATCAACGTTCAGGAGTGTTTACAGGAATGGGGTTTTTGTTGTTGTTGTTATTGTTCTTCTTGCTTGCATTGGGAAGGTCAGATGGGGAATGTCAAGTCCAGCATTTGTTGACACTTAAATGTCAGAAGGATGCAAGACCATAAGGTGTAAGAGATAATAGGGTGACAATAAGGGATGTCATATTAGTGTTCGTGAAGGCATTAAATGTAATAATAGGTCATGAGATGATCAGGCTATTTGT